CTTACATCACTTCAATTCTTTACCTAGCTCTTTTGTGGGAAAATTTGTAAATTGACTCCTCCATTTTGTAATTATAGTTTATCTTCTCTCATAACCCATTGGAATAGTTTTTTGTAACATAATGGATAGGATTCACCTTTTTGTAATTTCACTTTATCAATGAAATGGTGTTCCAAAAAACAAAAGGGATGGCTCCAAATTACTTCAGTAAAATCCTGACTGAGGATAAAATGATTGCTGTATATAAATCCCCAAACACGAAATTCGCAAGAGAAAGAACCTAATCCCCATCAAGCTTCCAAGTTAATGTCTTTGTCTCCATGTAGAGAATAAAGGTCCAAAGTTCCTCACAAGGGAAATATAATCTTCCGCTTCTTCATCTTTGGGATTTCTTTTGTGTGAGATCCCACTTCGGATGGGGAGGAGAACGAAATACCCTTTATAAAGTAACAGACGCATTTTAAAAACCAGAGGACAATATCTACTAGCGGTAGCCGGTAGCGGTGTGCTTGGGCTGTTACATTTTGACTCAAAAAATCAAAGAATCGACAGACCAGCAATAGGAAACAAAATAGCAATTCTGTCCCAAAATAGGTTCATGAGGCGAATGAACATTTATTGTCACTTCTAGGAGGCTGATTGCAAGACAACATAAGCCATTCACATGGAGTAATGCAAAATTTACTAACTACAATCTTGCCCTAGAGAGAGCCTCATTCTGATAGGGAACCTCCAAAATCACTTAACAAAACAAACAGACACAATCTTTCAATTCGTTCTAGAATTTCCCTCTACCACTTATACTCTTCTTGCCATAGAGATGAAATATTTGCATCTCAAACATTTAATTAACTGACACGTAGAAACTATGAACAAATGCATATCGACAAGTAAATGGAAAGTGGAAAGAAGAGTCTAAAGTCATACCCGATTGCGAAGGCAAGGACGGCTGTGGAAAAGAAGAAATATGCAGAGAGGGGTGAGAAAATTGAGGACTGTAACGAAGTTGTTCCAGCGGAGGAGATGATTCCGGAAAAGATGGCTGGGGATGGTATGGCTCAAGCTTGGGTGAAGAAGGAAGAGAAAAGAAGTCAAAAGCAAGTTTAGCAGCATCGTTCTGTGCTTGCTTGGAAGACTTACAAGGAGTCTGGGAACAGAATTTGTTGCCGGCGACGGTGACTGTGGCCTCAAAGCGCGGGTCGTGATCTTGACCTTGCTTGACAACGGAATACACGGGTAATTCGTAGGATTTGCGATGACAGAGCTCTTGAAGCTTTGTTTTGAACATGATTTTGGAAGGGCGTTCGATCAAGAAATGGATTCAGGTAGAGATGGAGAGGAAACCAAGAAATTGAGAAGATGATGGTGACAGTGGAGCGCTAGCTCGAGGAGAGACTTCACACTTCGCACTTAATTTCCCCCAAATCCAGGAATGCATCGTGTAGTAATAATACATTGTAAATTATCCTTTTTTTCTTTTTCATTTTTCATTTTTTTTTTCTTTTAAGTAAAATATCTTAAATACCATTTTTCAATTGTATTGTAAGGTTCTTATTTGATAATGGGAATGAAATTTCGAATTTTTTTTTATTATTTAATCACTTTAATTATATTTTGCACTTTCTAAATATTTTCCTTTTAAATAATCATTAAAAATTGTGCACAGACAACTATTTCAGGTAGCCCAAACGTGCAAATAGCATGGCTTCCAAGTCTAGCATCACGCGCATGCACGACCCAGTGAGACAAGCCTCACAATGCTAGACATAAGCTTGGAAGTATAAGCTAACAAGTCAGCCTAACAATCATCGACACAATCTAGCTCACTCAACTCTATCAGCTCTTGTATGACTCATCAACTTAGGTAGCATGTTATAGCTCAAGAGTGGTTAGGTTGGGTTTGGTCTGCTTCAATCGACCTCTAGTAAGCTTCCTCAACTCGGTTTAACTTTAGTTGGCTTGTTTTGACCATTTTGGATCGTCCCAAAACTGTTTCCGACATAATTAAGGCTAAAAATGATTAGGATAGTTACTTTTTTTGATAATTAAAAATATTTAGCACTATTTCCATAAGACCCGAGGCTCAATGAAAAGTTTAATTTTTCTTTTAAATCGAAGTTCCGAGATTTTATTGAGAGCTTTAGACCAAATTTTAAAAGGAAGCCGAAGAGAAAAATGATCAGAAATAAAAGAGAAATTAAAAAAAATATATTAAAAAAAATGATAGGAAAATTAGAAATATGATCCAAGCCAACCCTAGGGGGTAATTTGGTCATTCTGCCCTCCATTTTATCAAACCCTGGAATTTAGAAAAGAAAAAGAAGGAAAAGAGGGAAAAGAAAAGAATTAAAAAAAATGAGAGAGAAAGGAAGTTCTAGAGAGAGAAAGAAAGTTCTAGAGTACGACAAAGATACAATAGGCTCTTATACCAAATTTTGACATCAACTTTAATCTCGACCTAGATCCTGGTAAAAAAATTAACACTTTTCTATACAAAATTCGAATCAACCAAGAGATAAGACTAAAATTAGATTAAGATCGATGACGTAGCAAGATTTGGAACCTTGTTCTAAATTGAGTCACTCCACCATCAAACCTGATCAAGGCTTGATTGAATGGCTGGGATGAATGTTCTAAATTGAGTCACTCTACCATCATGAAGGCTTGATTGAATTGCTCCGATGAAATTTACCATAAGAATTGCTTGAAACTTAGTCTCAAATCAATTTGAGAGATCAATTTCATTCATCACAAATCTAATTTTTACATAATAATTTGTGGTATTTATAGTCTCCTCACAAAGAAGTTAGTGGTCGTTATTTAATCCCGAACCCTTAAATCTCAACAAAAGACAAAGTACTTGTCACAATTGCATTTTGATGGCAACGGACTTTCGATTGTGCGGCACTCATTTCTCAACAAGTGAGTTAAACCTATTCGTTCTAGCCCCGGTTCAAGAATAAAGTTTTTAGAAAACGAGGGCATAGAAATTTCGAAAGAGAGTTTTGAAAGCAAGATTTGAGAAATTGAAATGGGTGTTATATGAGAAAGTAAGCAAAAAGACAACCATCAGCTTACTGCATATAACTATCAGGTGAGGAGAAGTTGTCATTACAAACTTTATAAAATTTTAAAAAATAATAATAAATAAAGTTTTCTAACAACTTATGAAATGATGCTTGCAACTTCAACCGTGCAAATATTAACTTTTGAAGCTCCAAATGATCATTCATCAATCGAATCAGCTTGTAACACATGAAATGATGGTTGAACCGAGCTTATCCAATTTTGTAGGTGAAAAATGAATGCTTGTTAAATCTTTTTGGCCTTGGATCGTGTAATAAGTCAAGTTAGAACATTTGGAACACCGTAATTCTTATCATTGTCTATGCCACCTGCTCCAAATTCGCATATGTCCTCAATCAGCTCCTTGTCTCTTAAAAAACCTAAGAAAACTAGAATGAGTACCCAGACTCAGGCTTGAAAAATAGTCAAAGACATACCCAATCGAAAAAGGATGTAATCCAAATGCATTTCAAGTAAATGTAGTAAAATTTGACTAGTTGATCCTTTGGCTTTTACGACAATATGAATGTATTTAAGTAATTGTCGTTTCGTAAGACCATAATGAAAACAAAGACTATAATAAAAACACAATTTTTGTTTTTCTCCCTCCTGCTTGGGCACAAAGTTTGTTTTTGAGAAAAATTTGCTTTTCCAAATATTTTTTTGAATCCTTTTTTGACATAGAAGTGCGTTTTTTGGAACTGCCATTAAAAAATTAGTCATTACTATAATTGGATGTGAAAGATATCTAGTGTTCAAAGGAATTGATACTTAACAAAAAAAAAAAAAAATCTTGTGACATAGGTAAGAAATAGAAATCAATTATATGCCTCTAAGTTTATTTACTATTTATTTTTTAGAATCTATTTAATAGATTTATATATTAAATTAATTTTTAATAAATTAATTATTGTTTATAATTTATTTATTATTTATTCTTTTTAGAATTTATTTAATAGATTTATATATTAAATTAATTTTTAATAAATTAATTATGGTTTATAATAAGAATATGTTGTGTAACTTTTTTTCCAAAAATGAACGACTCTTTTGAAAGCGTGTTCAAAAGACATCTAGTGAAAGACTATAATTGGTATAATTGGTATGCTAGGGTATAACTTGGTATGCTAGGGTATAACACGCTGTTCAAAAGACATCTAGTGAAAGACTATAATTGGTATGCTAGGGTATGTGTTCAAAAGACATCTAGTGAAAGACTATAATTGGTATGCTAAGGTACAACACTCTTTCTTGACTTGTTCTTGTTTTTGTCCCGAGATCTTAAGCTCTTGGGTTCTATGCTTGAGTTTTGAGTGATTATCGTGAGTTATTATCATCCTGATTTAGCCTAAAGACCTTGGTCCTAGGTTCTAAGGTCTTAACCTTGGTTCTTTTTTAAGTATCTTGGTCTTGGATTCTTATGTATTTACCTTGGTTCCGTTCTAAGGTTGAGTTCTTAGTTCCGAAAACTTGGATCTTGATATATATTCCAACTCTTGTTCTTCTTCTTGACCTTAGCCTTGTTCTTGATTCTTTCCTTAGTTCTTGTTTTTTTCTCGAATGGTTACCTAAGAAACCCCCCTAGAATTTGCGGTACAAGACATAACATAATCACTTGTGTCCAACGCTTCACACATCCAAACAACATAGTCTCTTCATGCTCTAAACAACACAGTCTAAACCTACTTACGTGTTTCAAGCGACGTAGTCTAATCTGATATCCAAGACTATGCATTCCTTGTAATATAATCTACCATCTGAAACCTACCCGTGAGGCTTCTTATGTCTAAGTAGTGTATTATGTTGTAAGCGGGTATAGTCTGAAACCCATGACATCCTTTTCTTCATCTCAAATAGCGTGGGAGTATTAATCTATCTAAACCCTAATACTATCCCTCTCCGCCAGTTTCTCCATTCCACCTTCACAATCAGCGATCTCAAATATTATTTCCACTATTAATACAAAAGAAGTGGCGAAGATAGAATCGACCATTCTATTCATCGTATGAATTTAGGGACAAAAGCCATAAGCAATCAATGGCCAAACATATTGAAAGCAAAACATAACAGACTACTACACATACTAGCACGGCATTTCTATGGTGGAAGAGAAAAAAAAGGGAGAAAGGGCCATAGCCTCGATTCAAAACAATCTCGAGAGAAAGAACTGCTCCCAAGAGCACACCTACACACTTATTTGGACAAAACAAAACAGACTTTTTTTTTAAGAGACGGCGGAGAAAACTCATCATCAACAAACTCACTTGGCACTGGCAAGCTCCTTCCGGAGAAGCTTTGCGGCGGCCACCATGTTTTTGAGGGCCGGGTTCACCTCTGTATACTTGCGAGTTTTGAGTCCACAGTCGGGATTCACCCACAAGACGTTCTTCTCCAGCACTGCAAGCATCTTGTTAATGCGGTCTGCAATCTCTTCGGTTGATGGTATTCTTGGGGAGTGAATGTCGTACACACCAGGCCCAATTCCAGCACCATACTTCACTCCCTCACGGAACACCGACAACAGCTTCTCATCTGAGCGAGAGTTCTCAATTGTGATCACATCAGCATCCATGTCGATGATGGATTGGATTATGTCGTTGAAGTTGGAGTAACACATGTGGGTGTGGATCTGTTACATCATGAAGAAATCTTAGAGTTCCATTCTAGTTTTTAACAACTGTACAACAAAGGTATTGATAATTAATAGTAACCTGAGTCGTGTCTTGCACACCGACGTTTGTGATACGGAAAGAGTGAACAGCCCAATCCAAATAGAAGGCTTGCTCAGATTTCCTCAGAGGCAACCCTTCTCTCAAAGCAGCCTCATCAATCTGGATAACATTAATACCAGCCGTCTCCAGATCCTCCACCTCATCCTTGATGGCCAACGCGATCTGGTAGCAAGTTTCAAACCTGGAAGAAAGTATACACAAACAAACTTTTATTTCATGGAATTAAGAAAAACAAACAAACTTTTCTTTCATGGAATTAAGAAACAAACTTTTCTTTCCGTTACCTTGGCTGGTCGACTCTAACAAAGGACCAGTTGAGAATGGTGACAGGGCCAGTGAGCATTCCCTTCATTGGGCGGGATGTCATGCTCTGAGCTGTGGTCGACCAGAAGACAGTCATGGGTTTTGGGCGGCTCACATCACCATAGATGATTGGGGGCTTCACACAACGTGATCCATATGATTGCACCCAACCGTTAACAGTGAAGGCAAAACCTGACAACTGCTCACCAAAGTATTCAACCATGTCGTTTCTCTGCAGTGAAAATAAAACTCATGTTAGAAGGTGAAAATTAGAATATAAGATAGGGGATAGCCTTCATTTCCTCCTCAAAAGGCTCTAAAAAAACTCACCTCGGGCTCTCCATGAACCAAGACATCAATATCAAGCTCTTCCTGGAGCTTGACAACCTTGTTAATTTCCTCCTTAATAGCCTTAACGTATTCATCCTCAGAAATCCTATAGGAATCCAAGGAAAATTCCTATGTTAGAAATAGGTTCAAATTATATTTGAGTTTTAAGGAAAGGTAATGTTATCTATTTACTTGTTTGCTTTGTATTCCCGGCGAACCCTCCTGAGTTCAACAGTTTGAGGGAAGGATCCAATGGTGGTGGTGGGAAGGATTGGAAGGTTAAGCTTCTTCTGTTGAGCATCAAGTCTTGTACTAACGTTTGTAGCGCGGCGATGATCGGAACCCTTCAAAGCAGCAGCCTGTGCAAGCAAGCACAAAGCGATTCATCAGCAAATGCTGTGTTTGCAAACAGAAAAATTAAACTTGAGGGTAGGATAAGGAATGAATGTGCTCACCGCTTTCTGAACAGCCTCATTGGTCACCCTGGGGGACGACTTTCTTGAAGCATGAGCTTCAGCATTAGCAGCAAATAATTGCTGAATACAAAACCATGAGCTTAGCTTAAGAGTTTAGGAACCAAAGCCTATAACATAGCTTAAAGGCAGCCGGGATGAGTTTCATGAGGCACAAAAACTCACCGCGTCCTTGTTGCCAGCCAAAGCCTTCGCCAATGCGTTGACCTCAACAAGCTTTTGAGCAGCAAAAGCTAGCCATGATTTAATTTCGTTGTCCAACTTAGTTTCGTTGACAAGGTCGACAGCAGTGTGCAGAAGTGAGCAGGAGGTGGAGACGACAAGATTGTCTGCATTTTTTTTTTTTTCAGGGAAGGAGGAATTAAGGAATCAATAAGAAACCAGTCTCTATTCTGAAACCATAACATCAGGTGCAATGTACATATTAAGTACCATAAATATAAGCAGAAGATACCTTTGCCCACTATGCCAGCTAGTTCCTCCAATATATTGACTGAGGTGGCAAGATCGTTGGCCCAAATGTTCCTTCCATCAACTACTCCAGCAAAAAGAAATTTTCCCTTAGGGAAACCACCCTTGATTAAACCAAATGTCTTAGTTCCACGAACCAAATCAAATCCATAGGCAGTGACACCCTTCAAAGCAGTCAAGGTCTTGTACGCCTCATCAGGGATATCAGCAAAATATGTCTCAACAAGAACATTCAACCCAGAGAGAGTTGATTCCAGTTCAGAATATGCATCAGAGAAGGCCTTCAATTTGTCAGAATCAAGATCCATCACCAATGTAGGCTCATCAAACTGAATCCAAGAAGCACCTGCAGCCTTAAGATCTGACACAACCTCCCTGCAAAATGATCCATTGTAGAGGTAATTGTTAATGGGGAACACACGCTGTATAGAGGTAAAGAAACGGTTTCTTACTTGTAGATGGGAAGGATCTTGTTAAGAAGGGAAAGAAGGACGAAGTTCTTGTCCACACCCTTGGCTGGCTTAGAGAGCAACAAATATGACACGGGACCAATAAGAACTGGAACAGTTTCAACTCCAAGCTGCACGAGTTAACATAGTCTATCATTACGAGTATAGTTACAACGAACTAGACTAGATTCTTCTACTGTCTAAATTAAGAAATATGAATAGATAACAACACGTACAGCCTTGGCTTCTTTGTATTCCTCCACGGCCTTGTGTGAAGCATATGAGAACTTCACCTCTGGTCCCAACTCAGGGACGATGAAATGACTACATTATTGCGTTGACAGGGTTAGTTATGCCAATTTCATTATATTGTCACTGCATAATAAGAACAAATCTTGTTTCTCCAAATCATTACTTACTAGTTTGTGTCAAACCACTTGGTCATTTCCATCGCTGGAACAGATGCATTTCCTCTAGCCATGGAGAAGTAAGTGTCGAATCCAATCTCACCACCAGTCCAACCATATCTAGGAGGAACAGCTCCAAGAGTTGCAGTGGCATCAAGCACCTGATCATAGTACGAAAAAGTATTGCTGGGGATGTACTTGATCCCGGCATCAGCCATCTGTTTCCAGATGGATGACCTCAGATCTGCTGCCACCTTTTTCAAATCTTCTGCAGAGCTCTTTCCATCCCAGAATGATTCAAGAGCAAACTTGAGCTCTCTCTTGGGGCCCATACGGGGGTATCCAACAATGTGGGATGCCATTGTTCTGCTTATTAAGAGATCACAGACATAAGTACAAACAAACAAATTCCATTATGCACTTTACAGCATTTTTTCTTCTTTCATTCTGCAACTTCTGTGATGGAAGGCTATAAAATATCCAATAAGAACTAGAAATATTATACAGAAGCAGAAACAAGGATTCAAGTTATCGATAGATTTGAATGTTCGCTGATGCATGGATCTATTGGAAGAGCAGTCCAATCTAGGGTATTGCTTTATAAGAAATGAGATGAAATCATGGATTGATATGAAAATGAACATCCATAGGGTTGCGAACACAACAAGAAAACACAATGGAGATACTAACGGGCATCCGTAAACTGTAGATCCATGAGTAAAGTAGAAAAAAAAAAAAAAAGGAAACAAGTTACAAATCCCGAGAAAAATAAAAGCATCATCAAAAGTAAAAAGGCATCTGAGCAGCAGACAGATCTGGTACTTGAAAAGGCTAAAAAAAAACCACCCGGTGGCAAAGGAGCCAGATCTAGGTAAAAAAAAAAAAAAAAAAAAAACATCCTAAGGATCAAGAATCTTGGCAGATCTGTAGCAGCAGAGTAGTAGTGAAAACGGAAACAGAAGAGAAAGGAAGAAGACAGTGAATGGAAGAATGCGAAGTAGATTCCGGAATGAGCAATCATCTTAAAGCAAGAAAAGAAGAAATTGCGGAATCCAGGGTAAAGGAAAATGTAGATACACACAGCTTGAGATCCAGCAATAGGGAATGAGAAAGAGCATTGAGAAGGAAAGAAGAGAGCAAACCTTGAGAGAGAGAGCGTAGGGTACGTGAAGTCGGAGAGAGTGGGGGGGAGGCGGAGAGAGGAGCAACGGCGCGAGTTGTAAGAAGCGGAAATGGAGTTTGATTTATATACAAAACGAGAGGAGGACGTGGCAATTAATTTAAATTTATAATTTTTTTTTATAATAATAATATGGATATGGTTGAGCGTCAAAATCTGAGTGGCAATGGGAGAGGGCCACCCGGGGTTGGCTGTGGCTACCATTCTTTTTCTTTTTTCTTTTTTCTTTTTTTTTTATTTTATGTAATTTAATTATTCTAAACTACAACATACTTTTAATCACGTGATTAAAAGTGATTGATTAACATAATTGGGGATTAAAAATTAATTAGCACGTGGGAGTTTTGTTTATATTTTATATTTTTTTTTATATTTTATGTTTTTTGAGTGGAGTGGACCTAATCCCAACCGAGCTCTATATTTTCAAGTTGGTTAGGTTAGGTTAGGTTAGGTTAGGTTAGGGGATTTCCCTCTTGCGCAAAGAGAGTTGTATTGACAATCAATTCATCCTTTTGGTCTATAAAGCTACGGCATCGTTTTAGTGGTAATTGTCCGTGTGCATCAAGGTGTTTCTTGGCTCGTTAGTCCTCTCTTCCATATCGTTGCAATGTCTTATCTACTTGCAACAAAAACGTGAGATTTCTTGGTGTCATCATTTTTCTTAAATTGTCGACCTGTTATTACACATTCTGGAATCATATTAAATTCGTTGAGCTCACCCTCATCTTTCCAGAACAATGGTTGTGTTAATCCTTTGTGTGTTTGCTCATCTTTCGTTTGCTAGATCGAAGGTTTTTGTTTCGCCGGCGTTTATGTCCGACGAGACAAAATCGTTTGTCATCCATTCTTTTCTCTTGACATTTCGTGTTTCCTTTTCTTACAAGTGAGATATGAGAGTTTGTTGAAGTGTAGGACTTCCGATATGGTCGTGGGTTCATTGGAGGCACGATTTCTCCAGCACTCACACGTTTCTCGCCGACCACGCAAGTTATTATTAATATTTTTTTAACCTAACAGGACGTTACATTCAAAATTTTATTTTATCGTTGTAATTCATTTCACCTTATGTACTAGTAAACTCTCTAATGAATAATTGGTTTATGATCCAATCATAAACTAAGTTGCTCTTAGGCAAGTGGTGGATGGGCTCATTGAGAACGAGCATTTAATTCATTTAGTAGTACGGGTGAATTAATTTTATTTTATTAACAACTAAAATAAAGTATTAAGGGAGCAAGAACTTTACCTTGGTAGTAATTGTAACGCCCCTAGTTTTCTAGACTTAACTAGTAACATCACCCATGCATACATAATCTATTACGCGGAATCTCATCATAAATAACATTGAACAAAGTCTTTCATGAAGATTCATAAATCCAAAACAAACCTTGGGCGCTTTTCGATTCCGGGTAGGGTTGGATGTGTGATACTCCTTCACACATGGCCCATGTGTGCATACATGGACCCACCAGGCGGGCTCGTATACATACCCCATAGGCCTGACTTGGTCGGGCACAACATGTTACACGTCACCGAACACCACATAACAAAAAAGGGCCCGCATGATATCATGGCGAACATAAATATCGTAATTCTTTCTTTCGTATCAAAAGGAGAAGAATCCTGATGCACGTGACATACATACATGCATGAGGTCTCTTAACATATCTAACATGGCATTACATAAGCAGTGCTAACATCGCATATACGTTTCTTACATTACATGCATCTCACGACTTATATTACATGCATCTCACATGACTTACATTACATGACATATTACATAACATGAAAGTACATTCCAGTTGCATAAGCATCTCATGACATGACTCGATAATACTACGTGTATCTATGACATCAATCAACATTTTCATGGCATATATTACTAACATATCATTCATAATTTCACATAACATAAACAGTCAACAGTCAACATAATCCATTACGTTTTATAGCATAAACAGTCACATAATTCATACATCATACAGTCATATCACATAATAAACCATGGTGCATGCAGGGGCCACAGGGCACGCACCATCATACAACACGTAGTAAACTAACTCCAACAATAAGGTCACTTACCTCGATGACCTTGGCCGAAGTCACTCACAACAAGCTAATCCCAACAGTTAAATACGTTCTATAATAACCACATAAAAACTTCGGAACCTTTCATAACATACCCTAGCTAAATCTCAGGCTATTTATCAAAATAAACTCCCAACCCAATCTGTCTTTGACAGTTAGGAACCATACTGATCTCAGATGGTAAAACTAAGGGCCGAAACGGCTTTGGAAGGGTCAAAAACCTTGGAATCGATATACTATAGTGATACTAAGCCGATAAGCCGAGCTGCCGAGCCGACCAACTAAGCTACCAAGCCAAGCTGCGGGAATTGACGGAACCGTGCCGATTTCGTACCTATGCGAGCCAAGCCGGAGCTGTTGGGTATGCGTTTGCGGCTCGACTCGATTCCAAACACCTCGCCTTCCTTACCCGACAAGTGACGAAACCCTAGTTTCCGCCTCCCTGATTCTGGCGACGCGCCGACAATCCCACAACGTCCTCAACACCGATTTCCGACGGTCAACCTTCTTTAATAGGGTGTTACCGTGTATATGAGGGCCCTAGGTTTTTAGATCCAATAGACCTCCCTACATCATACTTCCCGGGCCCTTCAACAGATCTATTATCTCTTCAGGTATGCCTTACAAAAGATAATAAATGATTTTGTTTGTTATGATATGACTTACTTTGCATGGAATATGAATGTTGATTGATAGATCGATGATGTTTATATTTAGTAAGGTTTGTAACGTAAATGGGGAGTTGTAGTGTAGTAAGCTACTAAAAAAGCACAATGTTATGACCATAGAAATGGAAATGAATGTACTCATGTATCCTGACGAGTAAGTAGCTTTAAATGAAAATTACCAAGGATGTTTAGTGGATGACAATATTTTATAGTCCGCAATTTTATCACTAGGAAGTATGTAATTATGAGATTGAATTATTGGTATGCACAATTAAAAAAAAAAAAAGGTTGATTTGGGCTTACCAAATGAACACCATAAAAGTTGAAAATGCTGTATACTTAAACTGATTTGTGAATGACATAAGTGTCTATAATAGAAGTTGAGCTCTAGAAGTAGTGAGATGTAGAAAACATTTGCCTTAGCACTAATTGAAAAGTTATAAATCTGAGTTTTAAAGCAACCACAAGTATGAAAGTTATGAGGTGATTTAAAAGTATCGAGTCATAGTTGGGATGAAGCATTACGATTATGGTTAAAATTTTACGAATACCCCTGTAAGAATATATTTCAGTAGTGTAATATGAACTAAATGTTGTAGTAATTTAACATTTGATTTCCTAGCCATGTCAAGATACTTCAAAAGTATTACCATAGTTAAAAGTTTCAAGATTCATAATTGAAAGCTTGATTTGTAAGTATCTCGGATATCCATTATGGTTATACGATACGGTTCTAGAGGGTTTTGTTACATTTCCTTCCTAGTGTTACAAAAGGAGTTGAAAAAAAAAAAAAGAGCCCATCTTGGTGGTGTTGCCTTTCTATTAAGGTTATAGGAAAAATGTTAAAATGAGATCACGAGGATGTATGGGCAAAGAGGTGAATTATTGGACTCTTAGCAAAGGTTTATTTATTTATTTATTTTACCAAGAGGACAATGTAATGCAAAGGATGAGAGGAAGCAAGTCATCCCGAAGGAAATGAAAAAGTTGAAATTAAGGTTGAGTTAAGTATTTAAGATTTTCCAACATTAGTGTCTACATGAATGTTGGTTTCAATGAAGTGCTCGAGCCATAAACCTACTAAATGGATTCTGTTGCTTATGAAATTTTAGAAGACTCAATATGACATGATAAGATTATGTAAGAAATTGAGTGATCATTGACTTGACTTATGATTAAAATGTCCCTATAATTATGTACCAATAGCTTAGGAACAAAGTGACCTCTAAATTATATGAAATTTGATGAGGAGCCTTATTTCATGATTTAATAGGATTTACAAAGTTAGAAGACGAGTGGAATATGATGAGAATTTAAACTAAGATTTGGGATGGTAAATGATCAAAATGCCCCTATGAGAATTCTGAAATGTTTTCAAGACCCTGAAAAAACAAAATACTACTAAAATTTATATGAGACTCATTTATGTTATTATGGGTAAATATGTAAGATCTTAAGGGGATTAGGAAAATTTTGGAGTATGAACCAAGAGGCAAAGTACGTAACTGCCCCTCAAGACACTTTATAAGAAATCAAGGTTTTTATGAAGACTAGGTGGCAAGAGGCTTATGAAAGATTTATACATGCAAAGAAGTGTTTATGACTCATATGAATTAGGGTGTACTTGTTAAGGATTTTTCCTTAGTTATGCTTCAATACTTAACAAAAAACCCTTAGAACTAGAACCCGCGATATCCTAAAGACCTTTCGATGTGTAGTGCAACATGATCCTATGACATAGACTACGTTGCAGGGAACACATAAAGCCCTGGGCATAGTACTCTCAGACAATGTTGCAAAGAACACATGAAGCTTTGGAAATAGGTACACAGATTGTATTGCATGAAATACATGAAGCCGTGGATGCAAGTATCAGACTATGCAGCGGAAAACACATGAAACATGAGGCATAGACCAGGATTGAGTTATCACTGAGCATAGGACCCCACAAGTCTCTCGGGGGAGTGTAAAGGTATAAGAACTCAAAACTCTGGACCAAAGTCCTTACAACAAAACTAGGTCCCAAAAAGAGGCCTTCTAAGAAGTGGGAAATTTAGGAATTAAAGATCAATTAAGTATTTGAGGTTTTCTAGCCTTTATTGATACCTTAGCATTTCCAATTGAGCACATTAGCTTTGATAAGAGGATATGATCCTGGCGTGCAACTATTTATTGAATATAAAGAACTGATCAAGGTATGCTTAAAAGTGACCTTGATAAATGATATACAAAAGTTCGGATGAAGCTGCAAGCTAAATCCATGTTTCATCGGACCTTTCGATACTCTATATTGAATC